ATGGCTACTTATGGCGAAATCACTGAGTCGCTATTTACTGAGGTTCGTCCAGCCTTAATGAAATACCGACTGTGTTGTTGACTCAGTTTCAAGCTATTGGCTGTAAAGTTGGTGTTCGGGATAAGTTGCAGTAGATGGCAGCATGTGTACGTGGGGTCGTTCCGTATCTGGTAGACTAATATGAGGTCTCCACGTAGCCACCTGTATTGTCTACTGAACACTCCGAGTGTATTTAGTCGCTGCTTGACCATGGTGAGTTTCAAGCGCTGCAAGGTCACGGTTTAGCCAAAAGTGCCAAGTCTGGATTACGTATTCGACGTGTTAACGCACGTAGGCATGGAGCATCATAGAGAAGATGAATGAATCCCAACTTTCGAATGCCATCCGTAAGCTAACAACGTGCTGATTACCGCTTTTGTATTCTGACTGTCTGGAATAACCGAAGTCGTCCTGCACCAGCACACCGAGGTCAAGTTCCTGAGGGCTTGTCTGCAGGTCATATGCCCCCATATTCTGGAGATAGGCGTGTCTATGGCGCATGTGGATAATGTGTCACTTGACCACATTTAATGGCAGTGATTTCCTCACCGGTCAATGTCAGGTCCCATCTAGGTCGCACATGGAGGACCTTGTGGTCGTCCATTCGCTTGATCCCCGGTCAACTTTTAACCTCATCCGGAAAAGTAAAATTTTTGTGGTGATTGCTCGCGCAAGATCGTCGCACTCCACTCGATCAGAGTCGGGCAGAGATGTTCGGTCTTTAAACTAGAACTGCTGTTCACGGAGAAAATTACCAACCCATCCTAATAATGCATTGCCTACGTTTTCCAATTAGCCCATCATTACGTCAGCGATGATTGCTTCCATGACTTTGGAAAGCGCAGAGATAAGTGTTACCGGCCGGTAATTGGTAGGAATAGACGGACTTCTCTGAAAGAATCCGGAAAGTGTCTGGACTAGGTGAATAGCTGCTGCCTGCAGTGTTTTAGGGTGAAGTTTATCTAAGGATGGTAGCTTTTTTAGAACCATTTTTGCTATGAATTTGATGCTGGATAACACTGATGGTGTTGGGCCAGAATCAAATATAAGAGGTTTTAGGGTAGTACGCTTTTGAAAGTAGGCCAGTACTGGGCCCCTGAGGCGTTGTCCGCATTTTTTGTTCTGTGGGTATACCTAGCAATCGTAGTGTGTGGTGCGATTCCACACTACAACTTTCGAAGTGCGTTCACGTGTTTGGAACTAAGGCTGTGGTTCGAACGGAATTGTT